GCACTTTAGCAACACATACATCCTTAGTTATATTCGTAGTTACCCTATTAATAATATCAAGTTAATGAAAAAAATAATAAAAATTCATAGTGAAAATGTGATATATACACATAGCAGTGAATACTATTTAACTATAAAGAAAAATGAAATTGCAGAAATTGAAGAGAAATGAATGGACCTTGGAAAGATTGTGGTTAGTGAGGTAACCCTGACCCAGAAAGAGAAACAGCACATATTCTCTCCTCTGTGATTCCTAGCTTGAAATCCACTGATGTAAGTGTAGTTACTACCCATCATCAAAAAAGCTCTTCTCTACAGCAAATGGAATTCATCATAAAGAACACAAAGCAGAGATCAACAGTTTGTAGAGAGCTCAGACCCAGTGGATACATCTACATCACAGCTTGTACATCTATGGCTAAGGAGCATGGCTGAAGAGGGGATAGAAAGATTGAAAGATTCAGAATATTTGTTGTGAAATCTCTTCTAGAATTTTCAAGCAAGATAAAAATAATATCTTTATAAATGGACATATTAATGTAGAAGGGGGACTTTTTGCAGGATCACTTCCCTAGACAAAGAGCTATAGGCAATTAATGACTTCTAGTAGAAGAAAGTTAACCTTTTGTAGGGATGAATTTCATTGCTTTGTGCACAGTGTTGATTTGTCAGCCTTGAAACCATATAGATAGAAAAACAGAAATTAACTCAACAGGACAAAAAGTTCTAAATGTATACAAATTAGTTTATATGTTTGATGTAAATGTGTGTGTGTGTGTGTATGTGCATGTGTACAAGAACATGCAACAAATATAGTCAAAGAAAAATAGACAATCAATTTGAGAGTGAGGGGCATGGGAGGAGTTTGAGGGAAGGTAGCTATGAGATTCTAGAGGCAGAAAAGAAAAAAAAAATTCTGTAATTATTTTCCAATTAAAAACACAAAAATGTACTTGAACCTGTGGTTCAATTTTTTAACTTACCAAACATATATAAAATAATATATATATATATGTATATATATATATATATATACACAACATAAAATACTAACATCATAACATGACATTGATTGATGAGTCATTCATTTCTCTTCATGTCCCTGCACCCTACTCTGGACTCTGTCATCCTGACCATGTCACAAAATGATGTGTCCACTTGTACAATAGTAACATAAATATTATGGCAGTAGTTAATCACTTTTGGAGTGCACTTGAGATAGAGTTCATACTTAGCACCATTGCCTGTGCCGAAAGCTCCATGGATGTACAGCTCATAAGGGAGAAAATAATATTGTAATTATGTTAAATGGACATAGTAAAAATACCTCCTTATTCCTTATCTCTTCAACTATAGAAAGTTTATCTCTCCACCTTCATCAGAGAAGCTTTATTTTGTAGGATAAGGTAATTACTATAAAGCCCCATGAATCATCAAGAGGTGAGAATAAGAGATGCGTCCTGCTCAGCTTTTAATGGGCATCTATATTACATTCATTCTCAAAAGTTCGGGCATCATTATGGAAGAGGGGAGGAAAGAATGTAGAACAGTGGGTACCAACAATAAAACTGTATTTTTTTTAACAAAAGGGTAAGTGAATATATGAATTCACAGTAGCTGGGACTGCATGTGTAAGACCTACACAAAATCCATCCACCCAGCATTCCAGCACAGATGAGAGAAAGGTTCATACAGTACCAACTTTAAATAAGAGTTTATTCTTCAGAGATGTGGCCTAAGAGAGGCCATTTTCTATAAGTCCGTCTTGTGTCGGCACACATACTACAGCACTAAAGGGACTCCATCAGTTTACAATTGAAGTACATCAAGTTGTCATGGAAAAGTGGTGAAGTATAGGGGAAGAATTCAGGGAGAGGAGCTAGGTGCTGAATCCTACCAGAACACCTTGTATGTTAATTTTCCAAACAATATAAAATATGTAATAAAAATAAAATTTACCAGAAGTTGATAGTCTTTCCCCAGATTTCCCCAAACAGTATAAATGTTCAACATTTAAGTTCCATGATTTGACTGTACAGGCACTAAAAGTTTGCTCTGGAAAGGACAAAATCACAAGTTATAGCAGATGCTTGGCATGTGGAGAGTTAACATGGTAGTGTTGTGGAGCATCTCACTGCTGTGTGTTTCAGGCTGTCCCCATCCTCTTTCCACTTTAGCATTACACCCCAAAGGGGCATCTTCCTGGGCATCTGAGGGCCCTCCTGAGCTTTGGGCTAAGATATGAGCAGTCATAGCTCCTGACTTGATCATGTGCTCTCTGGTGGATGGAACCATTATTTCCTGGTCTCATAAAACATAAGACGTTATTAAACACAAAAAGATAAAATCAAATGGGAAAGGAAGAGCCATACAGATTCCAGTGGTATTACATATCTAGATGAAGCAAGTAGGAATTTAGTTAATTTGATTTGGTAGTGAGAATAGAATTATTATTGAATATTTTTTTTCTCAGGAAGAATGTTGACTATTTTTGTTGCAGGATTTTTTATAGTTGTTCAAATCATTTTTAAAATAATTTGGAGAACACCCAGTCCATGGAGGAAATTGAAGTGAATGGAGATTGGAACTACCTTTGAAAAAATAATCATCTGTGTAACAACAGGTAATTCAGACACAGGATGGAAAAATCTCTTAAATAAGTCTGAGAAGAAAGAAGATGCTAAAACTTCTGATCTGTAAGAATTTATTGTGCTTTTATTGTATTTTTATAAATGTCTTTTGTACTTAATTTCTAATGAACAATACTGACACCAGACACTACATAGAGAACAATAAAAGAATCTCCAAGTTACCTATGATTGAAAAAATAAAGGCATTAAAGTAAATTCAGTTTGGAGTATCTTTATGTGTGTTATCATAACACAGTAAGATAAAACAGGAAGTACATTTAAAAGAAGCTGCATCAAAATGTCACAGTCTTTCTCATGAGTTATCTTCTGGTGTCAGGGTGAGAGTTCCAGGCTACGGACTGTGTCCAGACATTTAGAAGAAATGCCACTGCTCAGACTCTATGAACAATCCAGTATTTTCTGGGCTTAGAAATGAAGAAATTTTGTCAACACAGGTTAGAGGTTAGAGTAATCTTGAGGAACGTTATGTGGAGAAGATTATACTGCAGGGGTTTCCATTGACAGTAAGCCTGGGAGGGAGATGCTGTAAGCAGATCACACACTCAGAATGGGCTGCAAGTCTGTGGTCCTGGGCCCTGACAAGGAGATTTTCTTGGAGTTAATTTTCCTCTTTTTCTAGGTATGAGGCAGCTATGTTGTCTTCATAAAAGTGAACTTCCTGGAAGCAAAATGATAAGATTTTAATTATCAGGAAGAATTTTATTTATACTCTTTAGAAAGTCTTTCTTTCTAAATTCTAGGTGATCTTATAGTCTCAACTTCCTGCTTAATTTGATTGTCTTTTAAGTTCCAATCAGCCTTTTATAGGTTTAATTCTTTCAGGATCAGATCAAGAACTGGATTTTGCTTAATGCCTCTCTGAAGCAAAGTCACTGGTGGTCTTACAAACAGTAAATGTTTGGTAAATATTTAAAACCTTTTTGTAACTGAAACTTTAATTTTATGTTTTCCCTTAATTTCTTATCCCTAAACCTTTAAGCTTCTGTGGCACATGGTAATTTCAGCTCTGAATATAGTTTATTGGTAAAAATTCAAGCTCTGATTTATTCCCAGTACTAGAAACAATCTTGCTTCTTTATTAAGAACATTTTAGAAATACATTTGCATCACTCCAGAATAGAAGGTTTTAAGGTTAATTGAGGTATTCCAACTTGTCTCTTCAGAAGCCATAGTCAAACCGTTAGGCAAAAAAGACTTTCCAGAGAAACACATGGATGACACTGAGTTACAAAGAGGTAGACAATAGTCCACAGTTTTTGTTCTAGGTTGAAATTAATTTTGAGGAGAATGATTCGGGTAAAAGTTAAGGGATATAGTTAGAGGACAAGACCTAAGAATCCATGCTGTTGGCTGAGATTGAAAACCCTGACTGACGAGTCCTTCAGTCTTCCCGTCATTAGGCAGGATGAGCACCCGAAAAAGAGGAAGGGCTCAGTCTGCAGAACTGTGGCTCTCCTAGTAAACTGAGTTTATTTCTAAATCATGGGCTTATAAACAATTTTAAATATTTGACTATGTATCTTTCTATTCCTTAATTCTGTGTGTTTGTATTAAACTGTCTCTCAAGCCATCTTTTTTAGAACTAAATCTTCTTAAATAGTAATAATAGAGGCCATTGTTAGTTGATAAACATCCATTAAATGTTTGTCGGGCAGTTTCAAGTGACAGGGTGTGGAAATACTTCTGCCGTACACAAGGAAGGTTGTCTGTGACCTAACGATAGACAGTCAGGAATCATTTCAGGAAATGTAAACCTGGGAAACAAACAACCAGCCTTCATTTCCTTCGTTTGTGGCGTTAAACCACTTTCCTTCAACCTTTTCTGCTAATGGAACTTCTAAACTAATTTTATAATCTGCAACGCCACGCGACTTTGAGATGGAAGCGTATATGACTTTACAATTGGCAATGCGAAATGTGCTGACTGTTTCTGAAGAGTGATAGATTATTCATGTCTACAATTTTATATTTTGGTACTTATCAGATCCTAATGGGATGTCTAAGAATTTAGTGACTAGGATAAAATTACAAATTGAAATGATCAAATGTTCTTGCACCTATTAAGTAAGATCTATTTGTGAGCATTTTCTGAATTTTATTTATTCTCTTTGGAAAAAATCACCAGCAATAACCAAGGTTTATTAGTCATAAACTAGTTTATGACTGATACACTACTACAGAAGAAAAATGAGGAAAGTTGTAGTAAGCCTTGAAACTCAGCAAAAGTTATGAATAAATGTATTTTTCTTTCAGGTTGAAATGCTGAACCTGAAAGCATGAAGTCATTTATCAGCGCTTTCAGAGGTTTGTTTGAACCATCCCTTCTGGGAAACTGTTTTCAAGTGACTCTGGACCAAATAAGAATTTACAATGCTGTTCTCTGTTTATAGAGCACTACCCTTGGTATTTTCCACTATGCAGACAGCACGTTGGGTTTTAACATGGCAGTCAATGTTACCTGTCAACACATTACATCTTTCTTCCTGGTTGGTGTTCCTGGGTTGGAAACCTTTCACTGCTGGATCGGCATCCCTGTCTGTCTCCTGTTTGTCCTGACCTTGCTGGGGAACAGCATAATCCTTGTTACTATACAGCTAGAGCCAAGTCTCCACCAGCCTATGTATTTCTTTCTTTGCATGCTGGCAATGAATGACATGTGTCTCGCCACTTCTGCAGCTCTGAAGATGCTTGGCATCTTCTGGTTTGATGCCCATTGGATCGATTTTGATGCCTGTCTAACACAAATGTATTTTATCCACACACTTTGCATCATGGAGTCAGCCATCCTAGTAATCATGGCATTTGATCGCTTTGTGGCCATTTGTATCCCCCTTCATTATGCATCAATCCTGACAACTTCTATGGTGACTAAACTGGGTCTAGCTGGCCTGATCAGAGGTGTGCTAATGGTTTTGCCATGTCCTCTTCTCATTAAAAGGTTGCCCTACTATACGAAGTATATTATCCACCATGCCTACTGTGAGCACATGGCTGTGGTGAAGTTAGCCAGTGCTAACACTCTCATTAACAGAGCATATGGAATTTCAGTGGCCTTTTCAGTGATAACAGTGGACTTAGGACTCATAGCCACATCTTATGTAAAAATCCTCCAAGCAGTGTTCCGTCTCTCTTCCCAGAACGCCCGCTCTAAAGCCCTGGGCACCTGCGCTGCCCATGTCTGCACCATGCTCGTCTCTTACACACCTGCACTGTTTAGCTTCCTAACTCACCGCATTGGCAAGAAGGTGCCTCCAAGTGTTCACATCATTGTTGCAAGTGTGTACCTCTTACTACCTTCTGCAGTTAATCCAGTGGTGTATGGTGTCAAGACCAAACAGATTCGTGATCGAGTGATAGATCTTTTCTTTACACATAAGAAACTTTCTGACAAGTAAAACATTACCGTAAAACTTATTTTAGCAGATTTCGTTCTGTGAAGTCAGAGTACAATAGTAATAGTTAACTACTCATTTCAACATTTTATTATAGTTTAAGTAATATTTCTAAAAGACATATTTTATAATTTAATATAGCTTTATATTTACTCAATTATATTTCGTACAAAATATTTATAGAGCTATATAATTAATTCACAAATTTAGCAAGCTTTACAATTTCATCTTAAATTTATTTATAACCATCTTCTCACACTCTATATCTAACTTCCCCATACTAATATTTAGGCACCTTGAAAAACTTTATTAAATATTTTGTTTTATTTCCATTATAAAGTATGTATTGAAATCACTACTCCTATCCTTAAAGCCTGCAAAACAATTTGAAAAATGTCTAAAGCTAATGATATTTCTTCAATTTATCAGAAAAATTATGTTTCAAACTTCTAACATAAAATCTAGAGACCAGAGATACTGAAGAACCAAAGTCAAGTCAAAATGGCTGGAGACAGGCCGACCTGAAGCTCAATGTTTTGCTGCACAAATGTTATAAACAGTTTCTGATGTAAGGATAATAGAGATGTGAAAACATGAATCCATGCTTAGTGAGAAATAAAATCAAAATAGACTAAGTAGAGGTAAAATGTTTGGTTTTTCTTACTCTTTATTTAGTGTGTATCACATCATTTAAAGCAATCCCAATCACAAGACTATAAGGAATAAGATAAGAATATGAAGAATGATCATCATAATTGCTGTAAAGGATGAGAGGGAATTTCCATCAGATGAACCTTCTCTCCCTGTCCTAGAGTGTACTGATATTTGACAATGGATGTATCTTATTTTTATCTACACATTGATAACTCCAGGACAAACCACTGAACCCTTTAAAGGATACAAATGGAAATAAGATACTAAAATTCTCAAAAATATGCAACTAAACCTATAAAAGAAAAAAAGATGAAAGGAAAATTAGTAAACAAAAATTTAGAAAGTTGCTCCAAATATTGTGATAATTTTCCAACTATAAGCATAATCACAGCGAGTGTGAATTGTCTAAATATACATGAAAAGACAGATTTTTTTTCAGAGTATATAAAATCAAGTACAAGCGGTGTTTTCTGAATGAAGAACCCACATTGTTTTTGAAATAGGGTCATTAAATGAAGGAAAGATAACAAAAGATGGAAAAAAATGAAAACAAGCAGAAATCTATAAAGCAGCTATATTAATGGCCACAATTATTAACAGTCTGAACAACTGAAAACAAACCCAACTCTATCTTGCTTTACAGAAATGTACTTTCATTGTAAAAACACATATGGGTTAAAATTGAGTACAGGAAAAAATGCTTATTCCTCCTAAACACAAAACAATAAACAACTCTGAGCATCATGTTTAGAATAAAGTAGATTTTATATTAATTGACTTTGACATAATTAATGTTCAGATTTCACAATGAAGAAGAGATCTCTTCATTAAAATCTGAACAACTACCCACCTTAAAATAAATCTTCAAAAAAGAAGATACAGAGAAAAAGGAGCTATACCCAGGAACAATTAAGGGAATGAATTTCATCTCTTCTTTCCCTTCTCTTGAGAGAACAACAACCAGAATATCAGCAAGCTTATATTACTTTTAAACAACACAGTCAGCCAACATAACCAAATAAATATTCTATCCAACAGCAATAGACTATATATTGTTCATGTAAACACAGACTATGTGGAAACTCATTAAATTTTAACTTTTATTTATAGGTGTGTGTGTGTGTGTGTGTGTGTGTGTGTGTGCATGTTACATAACTCCTGTGAGAGTCAGAGGATGGCTTTCAGGAATCTATTCTTTTCTTCTGTCATAAGACCCAGAGATCAAACTCATGTTGGCAAGTTTGCATTGCCAGTGATTTTACCCACTGAGCTATCTTGGCAGCTTAGGAAATTGATTGTTTTTAAAATTTTACCTTTTAAGTATGTGATTTTGTTAGTTCAACCTTGTGCCAACTTGAAATACTTTTCATACAAAATATTTTGTCATGTTTTTCCCTCTTTAAATTCTTCCCATATATTCTTCACTGATGAGAAAGAGAAAGGGAAGAGGAAAGTGGGGAGGGAGATCATACACACATACACACACAATACATACACACAAAATACATGCACACATACACACAAAATACATACACACACAGAGATAGAAAGAGAGAGAGAGAGAGAGAGAGAGAGAGAGAGAGAGAGAGAATTTTAAACAATAATAAACAATTCAGAATTTAAAATCTACTTATTGCTTTGAAACAAAGTTAGGAGGAAGTGTGCCAATCTTCACTTTTATATTGGTGTTGGTGCAGAGAACTGATCCACAGTTAACACTAGACATATAGTCTACTCCTGACCTATATGTTGCCTAACCCTCCTTTTTAAGTCTTTATAGAATTTCTTTTAAAATTAACTTACAAGCATTTATTCTGATTTTTTCCAAGTGCAGAAGAAAATTTTCCCCAAATGAATGTCTTTAGGAAACTTACATGTACCGTCTAAAATATACAGAAATAAATCTACTTACAGTTTCTATTAGAAATATGTGTCTGATTTGAAGACAAAGACATTTTATGTGATGTTAAAACCAATGTCAAAGCTGCAATAAATATAGAATATATTCCCTTAGTAAAATCCCTCAGCAGGTGGGGAGACTGCTTTTCTCTACTGAACATTATGGATATTTGTAACTTGGGGATTATGAATAGTATTAAAATAAGATGTAGTATGTTAATTTATCAGTATGAACCGATGTTGATTTTTAAAAACTGTTTAGAATATCATTCCACATTCTCATGTTTTCTCTTTAAAACTATGTCTTTCATATTTTGAGATTATAATATTCATCTTTCCCCATTCATTTTTCCCTCTAAATCCTGTCAAATATGCCTCCTTTGTCTTTATCAAATTCATGCTCTCTTTTTACATTAGCTACTGTCATGTATATATGCATTAACTGCATACATGTATGTATGTATTAACTGCACACATGTATATATATTTACAGTCATATAAATAGATTTTTTCAATAGATGTAATATTATATGTATTTATGTTTTATTGCTTACCATTTGGTATCTAATGATCAATCAGTATGCTCTTCTCTAGGGAAGAGGATGATTTCTCATGCTCTAGGTATTTTTTTTTAGCAGCCTATAGTTCTTTTTGTAGCGTTGAGGACCCCTGGACTTTTCCCACGTCCTTTTTCTCGGTTGTTGTTATACTCATCCCTAGGCAGTCAGATTGGGGACAGGTTAGGCAGGATTGAAAGTTCTTTAGCTATTTACAGTGTGGAATTTCTCAGAGATACAGTAGTGGATGTAGATGTGTATGAGGCAAGACTCAGATGTGCTTTCTTTATTACTGTTCTGTCATTCAGCATATGCCATGTTTTATAATGCCCAATTTATTCCCAAATAGACGTTGCACAGATAAGACAAGCCCTATCGGCTTTCAGTACTACCCAATTCAAAATCCTTGCTATTTTATCCTATAATGAAAACATAAGAATTAACAATAATATTAATTTGGCAAAAGACTTTGATCTCCTCAAATTGAAAGAAATACGAAGTATAATTTATACAGATGAATAATTTAGACAAGAGTGAAGCACTGTGATGCCCAACAAAAAGTTCATTTTCCACTAAGATGGCTTCTTTTCTCTTTCTCGAAGTCCATGTTAAAGAAAGCTGTATTACTTCAATCAGTCTATTTCCATAGGGATCCTTTACGATGTGAGGGGAGTGAAATGCCTATCTGCAGTACCAGACAGGAAAATTGCCCATGCATTTCACATCTTCCTGAGAGACATACCAACCATGACATCACTGTGAACCTGTAACTAAGCATTGTGTTCCTCTAGGACTGACTCTCAGAAGTGCACGATACAATCTAAGTCCCAAAAGTCCACGGACATTACTGTTTCATCATAAATCTCCCTGGTTCCGTGGCATCTGTTCACACTAGGTCTAAGTGATTCATCTCTAGACAAGAGGTCTCGGCGATGAACAACAACTAAAGGTCAGGTCTCATATTCACTGCTTATCGAAACAATAATTTTTTCTTTGTCAAAGCACATCAATATTTTCAGAAATTAAAATATAGCATATTTAATATAGATACACTTTATAAATATTTTGTCTATCAATGTCTATTATCTTGATGCCAAACTTAACTAATTCTAGATTTGTTCTCACTGGATTTACTGGCCTAGAAGTTTACTATATTGTGTTTGCCATTCCTTTCTCAACCATCTATGCAACGGTATTCCTGGGAAACTGCATGATACTGCATGTGATCCGGACTGAGCCAAGCCTGCACCAGCCCATGTTCTATTTCCTGGCCATGTTAGCCCTTACAGACCTGTGCATGGGGCTGTCCACTGTACACACAGTGCTGGGCATCCTTTGGGGCTTCGTTCAAGATATCGGCCTCGATGCCTGCATTGCACAGGCTTATTTCATTCATGCTTTGTCCTGCTTGGAGTCCGCTGTCCTCCTTGCCATGTCCTTTGACCGCTACATTGCCATTTGCAACCCTCTACGCTATTCCTCCATCCTAACCAATGCCAAAATCGTGAAAATTGGAGTGGCCATCATATGCAGGAGCTCTTTGCTCATTCCTCTAGGAATCCGCCTGAAGTTCTTAAATTACTGCCGGCCTCATTTCCTCTCTCACTCTTTCTGCCTGCACCAAGACTTAATTCGACTGGCATGTTCAGATATTCGCTTCAACAGCTTCTATGCTCTGGCTCTGGTAATTTGCACCTTATTGTTGGATGCAATGCTCATTCTTGCCTCGTATGTCATGATCCTGTACACAGTTCTAGCCATTGCTTCCCGGGAGGAGAGAATGAAGTCTTTGCAGACTTGTGTTTCTCACATCTCTGCTGTTTTGGTTTTCTACATCCCCATCATTGGTCTGACCATGGTGCACCGATTTGGGCAGCACCTCTCTCCACTGGTTCAGGTCCTCATGGGCAACATCTACATCCTTTTCCCACCCTTGATGAA